AACTAAAATGCATATATTTTCCACATTGTGCGCATTCACCCATTTTATACAAACAGTTCATATAATAAAGGACACACACTCTCTGTACAGTCTCTAACTCTCAAATTCTCCTTCTCTCACAGACAGAAGCTGCGTGAACCAAACAATTTTCTTGGGATTAAGAAAAAATATAGCTTTATGTAAGTCATGGGTAACCTAGATTTGTCAATCAAACAGTTCACTGGACTGTGTTTGGCTTTAATCAGAATGTAAAATGGGACAGGACCCGCTATCCATGGATCAATACTGACACAGAAACTCAATAACAATACCAGTCAATAGACTACCACATACAGAGTGGGCACATGTTAAATAATTGAATGCATTGACACAGAGACACACATACAGCACAAAAGAAGTGGCAAGCCATTTCCAGTTTCTTGCCACAAGGGGGAGCTTTTTCACCCTTTTCTTTGTTCTCTATAGCAGCTTCCACATGCACAGACAAACACACACTGATGTCCAAAGCAAGCAATGCTATAAAACATTATATTAGATTAGCACGCTCACCCACTCCAAAAACTGTATCAGTGGTATAGATACACTAGCAGCCTGGTGTCTGCCACACATTTCCTCTGCCTGCGGAAATTAAAATGTCAACTCTCCCAGATGGGAGAGGAGATGGGGATGTCTCTTACAATACCTGCGCATTTCATTCAGCCTGATACATATCAAAACAAAGAGGGAAAGACAGAGAGATAATTCCATCAGCAACAACTGAAGACTATGCAGAATATACAGTATCCTTTATAAGCCACTTCCATATATTAAATACAAAACAACTGTAAAGCATATTTTCTCCACACTTTTCTGTCTCATTTATATTTTCCATACATCAGCAAATATACATATATATATATATATATATATTAATGTAGCATTGTGTAATGTCTATTTTTACTTTCTTATTAGTCATGCAGTACTGAATATGCAGCAGCCAGTGCTGCATGGGAAGTGCATTGCAGGTGCAGGCCTGCTGCGTTAGGGCTTGGCCCATTTCTTTAAATATGAAAAAAGGTCTGAATAATAGAGGAGAGTGCTGGCCTGCAGAGAATCTGATGGTGGAAACGGCTGAAATGGTTTTGTGAGGTTGCTCCACTTTCAACAGAAAATGAAGATAACTATTTTTAAAATAATGACTTGCCTACCAATCATTTAAGCCTGGGCTCAGGCTCGGGCTGTTGCTGCCGCTTTCCGAGAATAGCAAACACCATCTTCCACTCTCATCAGCATCAAAACAGCTGCATGGACATCAGCCCAGCATGTGTAGCAACACAAGCGTCTTATAAGGTGGGGAGGATGTTAAGGATATAAGTGCAACATGAGTGTGCATTTGGCCTGTATGAGTGTGATATGTTGGTTAAAGTGTGTGTGTGTGTGTGTGTGTGTGTGTGTGTGTGTGTGTGTGTGTGTGTGTGTGTGTTTGTAGTCGACAGAGAGGTAGAGAGAGTACGCACTCTAATTTATTAGGTACACTTGGCTAAAACTAATACACATGATGTAACAGCCCAGCAATACATGCATCCTGCCTTCATGATGGTTATGATGTTCAGTTTTGTTGAAACTATTTTAGTGTTATTCTTGTATTTTGTCCAGTCCATGTAGAGTTTAGAGGAAATAATAGAAACACCTCTCACTGTAATGCAATACAGTTCAACAGCCTCCATGAGACCATAATATGAAAATCAACAGCCCCTTTGGACTAACATTAAGTGGAGAATATTACCACTGACAATAAATCAGACAACAAATCCATCATGCAAACCAGTATAATTGAATTTCAGATACACAACAACAATAGAACACAAAGTAAAATATAAAAAGAAGCCTGAACATTAGCCTGGAATCTAAGGGTGAGTGGCATCCTAGCTTGCTGTCTGTGCTGTTACCCTTTCAAAGCTACTCTTCATGGCATCATGAAGATGATTCCACCTAATCGCATTAGAGCAGCAACATAGTAGAATTTTCACTTTACACACTTTACAGAGGCCATAATCCAGGACAACTGGGAATACTGACAGCAGTGGCAGGATGGAAAGAAGGAATTTCCTATTGAAAACACCTGAAGGAACAGTGGTAATGTTTTGTGATTTTAAATCATTTGGAATAACAAATAATTACATCCAACATTGAGATATAATATATTGGTTTCACAAAAGTAATATTTACTGCAGTCATACATTACATTGTACAAGAATCTGAGAACATTTCACTGAATGTATTTTTCTTTTTTTCTGATACTTCATACGTTATACTACTTCAGTTCTCAGTTAGAGGACAAAGCAAAGTGAGTTAGGATTAAGACGAACATTAGGGAGTAAACAAGGGCTTAGGGAACAATTATACTCCAGTCTTATCGCAAAGACCCCATTTACAGTAGTCTGTAAACAAGCAGACCAAACTCCTTGTTATTTTGGAATCGTGTTTTTAACGCCTTTGTTGTCTGCTCAATTTTGCTCCTCTACTCACATTAAGCAGACTCTCCCTTCATTATCTGTAATGTGATGCATAGATTATCTAGCCCAGTGTCTACTGTGGCTGATTTAAACTCTGGTGTTCATGAAACTTTTAGTTATCTATTTGATGCATCATGTGATACCTGATCTTGTTATCTGCTATAAACTCTGCTGATATGTAAACCATCAGACTAAACATAACAAAATTTGATGTGGATTACAAACAGCGACGCACTAAGACCTGTAGATGCTACATGAACTACATGAGATACGAGACAGACTCAGAAAGACGCACTAGGGCCACACAATTGACAGCAACTAAAAGCACATAATTTTGTCATGTTACCACAGTAAAGCTTAATGTCTGAAATAGGGCATTAAATTAAGCATTTGTTATATTTGCCATTTTACCCTGACAGTGCAAGTGTGGGAAATCAAACACTCTGAATGGCTAATCACAATCTTTGAATGTGTCTGCACTTATATGACCCAAGATAATGTTAAAATGCAGTAAAGGTCAGCATCTGAAAGTAGACAACCCCACATAAATCATCTCTGTGAAGCAGGCAGAGAATGACAAATTCCACTCCAAAAAATTCATCTACACCTACAAAATGTTATTTTTTTATTTCGCACAAAAAGCATAACCCATTGACCTTCAGGGACACCAGAGGCTTTAAATCAGATAGTAAAACATATATTTTTTGTAAAGATAGCTATAGAAGTGTGCTTGAGCCCCAAAATAATAAAAAACTGGTTATTTTTCAATGATATCACCATTATGTACTGCAATACCAAACTGTTTCTGTAATTCTCACTAGTAGTCGTGCAGCCCTCACATATACACACAAACTGAAGCCATAACATAAGGCCCAATGCTGTTCTCCAGGAACTAGCAGAGCTTCATCTTTTAATGAGACATGATAAGATAAGCACTACAGAAAAACATGTATCACACAGTACATAGGGCAATATTGCAACCCATAGTACTTCCATAGAGGAAATCCTCTTTTTAAAATAAGTATTTTTCAGCAGATAGAAGAAGAAGAAGAAGAAGACCATGTGGAGGGTTTTATACAGTACAACAAACAAAGCAGTTTGACTAAGGCGTACCTTAGCATTAAGCAACCCTTTCCTGAAAATTATTATATTCAATTATCTTCAATATGTAAAAAATGTGAAGTGTGTAAACATGCCAACACATTAGTAAGGCAAATAGAGGGGCAAAAGCACCAAATAAAAAGCCTATTTTGAGAACATTTCTGAATATAAAACCACTCCTCATCAGAGTGTCTGACAGTTCTCACACTGCATATGAAGTATCCATTCACAATTGTTGAAGCCAGGTCAGTTCAGTAAGAAACTCTGGGTTCATATACAGGACAAATGCACACAGAGGATAGGTTCAGATTATTTTGCCTGAGGCTCCAGGCCTGAGGCTGAGGCTGTGGTAGTTCCTCCCATCTCCCTGCTTTTGCTGCAGTCATAAGGCTGAGAGAAAGAGAAAGATGTGCTGACATATTTAGCTCTATAACTCCTGTTTCTACAGAAAGAAGAGGTACTGTAGACAGGAAAGGCTCTCTGTGTGGTCAAAAAGAGAGAAGAGAAAGAAAGGTGCATGGTGGAAAAAACACTAATGGACAAAGCCATGTATTCCATCAGCAATTAGCAACCAAACTAAGAATAACAGACTTAAATGAAAAAGAGAGAGGGTGAAAGAACAGGGGAGAGAGCCTCCAAACAGTGTCAGCCATTTTCTATCAGCTTGCAGTTACATGAAGAACCAGAAGGGGGCATAAGTGAAAGCACCAGCCACAGGAAATCAGGTTGCGTAGGAGGAGGAGGAGAGGGATGAAGAAAATGAGAGAAAGACATTCTTTGTATCTGAGATGTAATAATGAAGAGATATGAAAACAAAGAGATGGACTGAAGAAGTACGCTAGCAAAGGAAAATAAACCAGTAGATGGTGAATTTGAGAAGGAGAACACAAGACTAGGGAAAAGTAGGGTAGTGATTGCGAGAACAAAGGCAGGGGGAGAGGGAAAGAGAGAGCCAGTCAGTGGGAGGAGAGAGTGGGATATGAGTCAGGCTTACAGCATTAACACTCATCTTCCACACCCATGTCTCATTGTTTTATTCATACGCTGCACCCACTAGATAAGATGGCGGGAAAAAATAGAAGGTTATGTAGTGATGGACACACATGTAAACACACATACACAACTCAGGTGTGTGTTGCTAAAGGGAATCACATAACCAAATTTCTCTAGATTTCTCTATGATAATATAATAGTAGCACTAATCCTAAATGGTGAAGTTCCTGATTTCATATTTTTTTTGTTATGACAGATGGTTCACCTAAAAATAAACAAAATGAAAAGCTACATGTGGGATGAGATGACTCACCCACTGTGCACAACAGCTCACTGGTTCACACTCAAAAAGATGACCAGAAGGAGCCAAATGACGTTCAGACCATTTGAAAATAAGAGGAAAACTGAGAGGACCTTTCAGGCTGTAGCTTTAATCTGTGTCTTTTTTTCAGTATCTACAATTATTTCAAAGTCATGCTATCACACACACTTGATAACAGCACAGTGACTCCATATGCAGCCCTGATACACAGACAATTAATTATTTTTCTGTAAATACATACAGTGCATACTGAGTATGTTTACCTTTTAACAGAAAAGCTCTTTTGTAGTAAAATAGCTGAAGCCAGGTGAAAACTTGCATCTTTAACATTTAACTTATAAGGAAAAATAAAAACAAACACTAATTTACAGTTTGACTATCAGGCTTGCCTACTAAATAATGAAACATAATTCAACAGATATACAAAGTAGTTTATGTATTAGTATTCAGACAATTTAGTTCAACTCAAAGCCTTAAAACTGAGCAGAGTGATTTTTATTCCTGTCAGTCTCATAGCTACACAAAACTCACAGAAAATAGCATGTAACTGTCACGCTGCACTTTGTCACTAAGCAATGCGGGGTCAAATAGCCACAGGGGGAGGAGGAACCCTGCAGCTAGAGACTGGATCCCTCTAACAACCAACAGCTGATCCCATCCATGCATGGCCAGAAGTAAATACAACATAGGGTATTAATCAGACAAGTGTATGGGCATATATCCCATCTACCCCATAGTGAGGAGTGCAGGGATACTGCTGTAAGAAGGCAATCCTCTTACCAAGGCAGCATCCAAAGTTTAAACAGCTGACTTTTGATTTCACCCATTCATGCATTCTTTCAATCAGATATCATATACATCTTAGGAATGGTCTCAGGAAACTGGACATTTCTTTAGGTTATCAACAGGCTGAACTCAAAGTTGATTTTCAACCAACTGTGTATCCACTAGTTTTCCACATAATAGCTGGCTGTCTTGCATGCATCCTTGCCCTGACCCCTCAGTCAGTTCAATCCTCCAGGCATGCAGTGATGACCTAAGTACAGCAGCAGATGTTGAGGCTGTATGAGCACTGATGCCAAACAAGAGCAGTGCAGACCTACATCTGTTCGGATCTCTGTTGATTCAGAAAAAAAAAGAAAAAAATTAAACATAGCACATGGCTAACTGCACTTAATGAAGCTATCAAGCACTGGTTATTACATCAGACAAACAGATGTATAGGTAGGCCCACATGTTGTTTAACACTGTTCTTAATATTATTATTGCTGGTAAATTATTACATTAAGTGACATTTAAAACATAAAGAGAGCATCAGCATAATGCAGCAACCTGAGCTAAGCTCATATCATCCAGCTTACATTTAAACTGACACATGAAGATAGTGTACACGAGGGGCTTTCATTAGTGCAATGTTGTTAATTCTCATGGAAGTAGACCACGTTTACACCCCGGAGAAAGACCTCAGTGCCTTGATTCAGCTACAGTGGAGTGATTCTGCAACGAAAGTGGCAAGGTCCAACCTATAGGACTCATCCACACAGCCATGAGTCAATGTACAGAGACATAATGAAACTGAGGGCTTATATAACCGAGTGGTGGAGAAGAGAAGGGGTTCAGACTTACTCACATAATACCAGGCATGACAGAGGAGAGGGAGGCAGTGAGAGTGAGACAGAAAAATAATTGTATCGATTTTTAAAAATATATTTACTATCAATCTTTTCTAATAGCGGTAACTAGATAAGACTTGCTGGACAGTCTCTTTATGAACATGGAAGTACCAGGTTTGACCCATATACTTAAGAGTAGTGACTAGCCTGAACCAATTCAGATCAAAGCCACACATGGCTCTGAACCAGTCTCATCGTGTTCTAGGACAAATGACAAGAGCAAAAGGAGCTGTGCCAGGGAGTCTTGGCCCACAGTTATGAATGTAGCTCACAATAAAATATTTGGCCCACTGCCTCTGTTTTTGCCCTGTAACCTAGAGGCAAAAACATTTATTACATCTGCAATAGTCCCCATTATAAAAACAGACAGTTTTCTGTTCTGTGTGAGCATAATGAAGTGGTTAGAATAGATTCACAGAATTTAAGTGCTATAATACAGAGAAATAATAAATAATAATAATAATACATTAAATTATTAGAGGCACCTCTCTGGGCACTCGAGGACACCGTACAACTCAAAAAAAAAAAAAAAAGTAATTCACAGTTTGTCGAACTTGATATAGAGAAGAGACGTGGCCCTTTTTTGTCCAGTCCTTCTCTGTCACTCTGCAGTTTAGAGTACAGCACCACACAGAGATGCACAACAGCTTATTGACCATATAGTCTATACGCTGCACTGCAGCAGTCCCTATGCTTGCTGACATTCACAATAACAACCTCCTGATTCACTAACAAAATGTGTAGTAAACACACTCACCAGCACATGAACACACAGATAGAGTACATCTTGTACCAGCACAGACAATAAACTGTTGGACTGTTTTGTTGTAATACAATGGAACGTAAAACAGTGTGGTATATGTTCACACAATACTCATATAACCTCCTGTAACCAAGACTCCATTAGGTTATGTAATACTTTACCTCTGGCTCAACTTTGTGCAAATGGAGTTTCCTGTTATGTTCCAGTGAACCAGGCAAAGTTCTAGATATGGACATTGGATGTCAATTTGCTTTCTGTTGCTTTTGTGTGCTTATTGCTCTCATATTCAAACTGTATAAAAGGAGCTGTCTCTTTTCTTTGACTGTTTATTATCTGCAGAATTTACTCAGGCTTTTATTACATTCAATAAAATATCCTATGTCTGCTGCTGATTTTTCTGCCACCACAACAGCAGGTTTTTATTTAATTACTGAACAACACAATACCAATATAATAGTCAACAACCAAAGTTGATGTACCACTTCCTTTCCTCCATTCCCTGGGACACATTAACTTAATTAGTGAAAAATACCTCTTCAGTCTACCTTGTCAACTGTAAGTGACTGCTGATTAAAAAATACTAGATAAAGGATAAAAAAGTTTACTAATACTCCAGTATGGTAAACCCAGTATGGTTATATCTTAATAACAAGCAAATGATCTTCACTGCCAGACCTAGCTGTACACTATTTGTGTGCTGTGCCAGTACAGGAGAAACAAAAATTTCAGGGTTCTTTGAGAAATCAGTATGGGCAGTGGCAGACATAAGTCTGCGTGTTCTCTTGTTATATATCCTGCTGAAGGGGGAAAAATTATACTTATGAACATTATATACACAACTAATTATCTGCTTCCACAATTCGGTGTTTTAAATCATGCATGGTGCTTGTTCGCCAGACTGGATGCTTGTGATTGTTTTTTTCTAATAGGAAACTGAAATGAAGATGGGAAAAGAGAGCCGAATGCAATATAATCTATCTAATTATTGACCAATGGAAGACACTGTTTACAGGACAGATTAGAGCAGGAAGAAGAACATAGTATATAGAGACTTAAAGTTTGCAAAGTACAACGGTAGAGATATGGGCACAGATGGAATCTGGCTAGGACAACCATGCATTCATTCAATGTAGTATATAGAGCAAGAGAGAATAAGCATGCATAAGCTATATTTAGCCATGGCATTAAACAGATGTATTATCTGTGTAATTACACAAAATTAATGACCAAAATGTCAATCACAGACAGCACATGATATAACCTTATGATATTCTATTTTTATTCAATGCAGGACAGAAGATTTTTGGCACAGGGCTTTGATTGATATAATTGTCTCACAGTGGAGGTGTCTTTTGTTCTCTCGGCGAGGCACTATATCTCCAAGGAAGCATGCTCTCCTTATGCTCTGTTTTCTTGTTCTCTGCATGTCTTTCCCTCTATCCATCCAGCCCCCTTTCTGCTGTGAAAGTGCCTTTCAGTAAGGTGGATTAACCATATGAGAGTATGTGTGATGTGTGTGTGTATGAGCACAAGCATGTGTGTGTGAAGTGTGAACATAAATATAGTAGCTGTTTTCGTTGTACCCTACTGTGTGTGTAAATTAGATTACCATCACTGCTGTTGACCTCAATGTGAGTGGCGCCATCCTCCAACAAAGCTGGAGCAATAAGAGAGAATGTGCCCTACTGACACACAACAGCACATGCAGCATCCACAGCCACAACCCTACAGGCATGAGGAACAGCAACACAGAGCTAAAGAGCATGTGGCAACACGAGAGAGGAGATAGACTACAGAAAGAGAAGACAGAAAACGATAGCGAGACAGAAAAGGGTGGCATATGAAAGAGGAAACGAAGGACAGAGACATAAAAGCAGAAAAAAGGAGGCCAAGACTGGGATGGGGGAGGGGGAAAACTGAGAGTGATATCAATATGGAGGGTAAAGAAGAAGGAGATAAATAGTGAGGAAACAGAGAGTGAAGCTCCATAAACAGAGGTTGGAAAAGCAGACTGCTGCATGAAACAGTGCCTCGACTTATGCTTATATCTTTATATTTTGTATTTCAATTTAAATCACATTGAGTTTCCATGCAGTGAAATGTGCTCTATAAATAAAATTGCCATTGAAACAAAACAGAGCAGAGCAGAGGCAGAATGGAACATGGAGTACTGCAAGGAATGGTGTTTCATAGAGTAACATTGACATTGCATTATCTAACAAAAAACACCAAAGATCAGGAATGCAGTTTTGCAGGAGAAGTTGAACATTAACAGTGAAATAAAAATGAGACCATACAACAGGACAAATTTTGAAAGGTTTACATAAAATCCAGGTAAATTGGTCAGGGAGGTAGATGCAGGAAAAAGTTAGAAACCAAGGACAAGAGTGTGACACAGGGAGAGGAGTAGCCACATAAAAAAGGTCCCTCATCTCAAGCTGCTGAAACAACAGTACAAACAGTCTAGCTGTGACAGCTGTGTCTCCTCCTCCTCTCTCTCTGACATTTAGCTTGTCCTCTTACCCTCTCTTCCTGTGACACTGAATATAGTTTAATGAGGCAAATGCTCTCACCCTCTTAACAAAGACAGCATACACAGACACACAACAAGGTTCATTGCACTGTGAATGGTTTTCAGTGCAGACACTCAGCATGCAAACACAATTGCACTGATCTGCTGAGCCAGCCAGGCAGACAGACAAAGCCACTGGAGCAAGCAGCCACACCCCCGCCAAAGAGAGCATACAGAGTGAAAATATACTATGATAGACACGCTGTATTCATTGTAGTGTTCTGTACTGTAATCTTTAAATCTAAATCAAAAGCACCTAGTTACAAACAATAGAAGTACTAACATGCTGCTACATCAGTGGACCAAGCCACATCACATGTGCATGCATTCTGAATGCAGCTCATGAACCTACTTTCAATTAATTTACTCCTGTTCTCGCCTCTGTTTTTTCTCTCCCAAAAATGGCAATGTAACAAAAGTGCAGTGATATACAATTCTGTAAGAGGCTACTCCTACCCACATACGACCAACTCACAGTGAAACAGGAGAAAAACAATGTGATCCACTGACACCACCCTGCACTTTTTAGGTTTAATGAGATGCACTCATTTTTAATCACATCAATAAATATTTTCTGGGCATCTGCTGTCCAGGCACTGCTTAGCACTGCTGCTGTATTGCAGAACACATGATGTCTCACACACTTTTAGCTCACACACAAACATGTGCACATAAAATATGCATGCACAAATACACACGGAGAGGTAGTCATTGCTGTCTAGTAGATCATTGAATAAAACTGGTCAGAGGAACTGCAGAGAAACTGTGTTGAGCTACTCCTTCATAAAGCCGAGCTGCTACCTTACTCTGAATTTGAACTGATCCTTTCCATTCCTGCATTCATACTCCATTCTGGCTCACTGCTTTACTTCATATGCTGCTCAGTGGGTCAGAAATATGCCATCAACTTTTCAACAAAGACACACTTAATGACAGTTTAAAATACATGTTTTTCCGACATTTTCTAGGTAGTAAATCTAAGGTTGACCCAGTTGTTTGAGAGAAAAGATTATCTCCACACTATAAAATATCTAATTAGAAGCTCAACTATTCCCGCCTTCACTATTGCTTCTATATCTGCACCATCTGTTGCCTGATTTACAATGGAG